TCTCTCTCTCTCTCTCTCTCTCCTCTCTCTCTCTCTCTCTCTCTCTCTCTCTCTCTCTCTCCCCCTCCCTCCTCTCTCTATTCGTTCATCTCTCCCCTAGCGCGAACTGTGCCCGTGACCGAGAGATCGAAACGATTTCTCGAGGGCCGGCATTCGACCGTCCTGGTTTTTCGGTTTTGCGAAGCGACTGCCACTGTTTCACGGAATGTAGAAGAGGATCAGATTTCTTTTCGCCAAAACAATCTTTTTTCAAGATAAAGAGATGAATCCTCTCCTAACGATTAAAATTAATCTAAAGAGACGAATTACGATCCGTTAAAAGCAAAGAATTTATTCTTAAGATTAACATAAAGAAAACGATAATTCGACAATCAAATAATTAGTTTTATACTTTCTCTCTCTCTGTCTCTCTCTCTCACACACACACACACACACACACACACACACACACACTTCCATTATACTTTATATTTCTTTTTGCGATAGCCGAGCGATGATAGTACCGCAAGTTTCATCGCGTGCACGTTTCTTCGATATATCGCTTGAGAGCACGCGATACGGAAATTCTCAGCCCTCGTCTTTCTTCTCGTTAATAAGAATTATCTTACGAACGTATATACGGAAGTAGTGTCTCGTTGGATTATACAAGAGCGGCGAGATTTCTCTCGGAGCGCAAAGGATTTTGTGGACTACATCTGGAGGGAATATCGTCACAACGTCGAGGGGAGTTACGAAACACTCGAGTGCAATTTAGGACGACCCTGTCTCCCGGAGTCCCTTATAATCGCGCTGGCTCACCGGGGTATAAAACGGAAACTCGTGGACTGTGCTTCTTGGCAGTGTAATACGAAACAGACAGACCTCGCGCTACACAGAAACTTCGAAGTCACGATTGCAACTATAATAGTGACATACAGTACTTCCGATGTGTTCCATAAGATATGCGTATATTTGATAAACCAAAATTGGGAAATTTCAGGAGAATTTAATTCGATGGTGAATTAACATCTGAATTAATAATGAGCAATTAATAATTAGCGATATTAACAACCGGCTTTTCGTTCTTTCCACGATTTATGAAA